TCACATTTATATATTTTTAACCTTTAAGAAATACAAATGTTCCATGCAGTGTGCGTAAAAAGGATAGGTAAAATAGCCAGCAGTTGCCCTCCAAATTTATTGAAATACAGAGGAAGTTCAACCTTGAGATAAATATTCTCACTTCAAAAACAGATTAGCCATAAATCATGTCAATCTAAAAACCTCACATAAGGACCGTCACTACCGACTTAATGTGCGTTTTATTCCATCATTTGGATTTTTTTATGAATAGAGAGTGATCTATGGAATGATACTTGGCGTAAATAACTTCTTTAAAGTATTTCCAGTATTTGTAACACATAATTTCGTAGAACAGATTTTAAATGATTGTATTGTAAGCTATTCACTGACATAAAGTATAGCTGCTTGAAAAGATGTTGGGGTCGCCTTTTGTTTCATGATTATCTTCTTTCGATCACAACAGCTTGGTTAAGCTTTGATTTGTTCATTTTTAGTTTTATATTATTATATTATTTATATTTCGTATATATGTTTATATATAAGTTTACTTTGCACAACTATACATGTGAAGTTTATTCATGATTTTCCATGTGATCCAAATGTCTTAATTTAGAAATGACATCACAAACTTCATATTCACTCGCTATTTTAGCTCACTTCGTATAAAACTGCTTATTTTCCTGCAAATTTTCTTCCAAAAAATATTAAGCCCAATTTAGAACAAATGTGATATTTTCACCATACATGTATCTGTCCAAGACTAATAACTGTCAGAAAAAAAATTGCTTGATCAAAGCTGCACTCTTTATTTCCCATAAGAAAACCCTTGAGAAAAAATGCACATTTATGGCTCATTTTAATTAAATTGCAAAAGCAGCATCATTTCTGGTGTCATGTACTCCAAAGAGTGGATAAAAATGGAACAAATGGACGGAAGATGTATCTAACATATACTCTTCTACAAAATAACAAAACAATCTAAAATACCTGAATCACTTTTAAGTTCAGCTTTCATTCCTAGAATTAAACACTCCTCTGACTACATGGAACTTCTTTTTTGTCAAATAACACAAGACAGATTTTTTTCCAAACAATCATTATGCCATTTATTATGAAACGACAACATATAATACAATACCTAAAAAAGACTGGGAGACCATGTAACATTATAACACAATTCTTGAGAAAAAAAATTGTAAACAATTATGCAATAAAAAAATTGGCCTCCCAGTATGTGACTATTACATAACATATATAGTTTGGAAAAATAGGGGGCCTCCAAAATATGGCCGCCATATGGCCTAGCAAATTCATATGAATTGGCTTAAACACTACATAATTCGGCCTTTAAAAAGAATATGACAATACAATATATATACATACAAAGAAATTAAATTACAAAGAAAATTTATCATCATCTGAACCAGAGATGACCTAGGTACGTTAAAGGTATGACTAGGGATGGAGGTGGGTAATCCAAAATAATTTTAAACAAATGATTGGCCGTCTTGTCTTCACCATAGTAGTAGAGAGAATGATGCTAGTTCCCTTATCTCAAAAGGATGGAATTACAGGGGTGGAGGGGGGGGGGGGGGGGTCAACACGGATTAACAGAAAAAGAGGCACAAAATGGGAATTTACAATCTTAACATAAAATACATGAAACTTAACTTAAAATAATTTTACTAGCATAAAATATCATTAAGTTCAGCTTTCATTTCTAGGATTAAACACTCCTTTGACTACATTGAGCTTGTTTTTTTTTTTTTTTTTTGTTTTTTTTTTTTTTTTGCCAAATAACACAAGACAAATTTAATTCTAAACAACGTCATTTATTACGAAATGACAACATATAATATAATGCATAAAACTAAAAAAATAAGACTGGGAGACCATGTAATATACAACACAATTCCTGAGAAAAAAAATTATAAACAATTATGCAATAAAAATTGGTCTCTCAGTATGTGACTATTACATAACATATATAAATTGGCAAAATAGATGGCCTCCAAAATATGGCGAAAAAGGCTTTAAGCATTTCTTGTGCCACCCGAAATGTAGTCAGACAAAATAATTATCAGTGCCTATTTCAAAACAAACAATATTTATAAAAATTAATATAAAGAGCAAATTGGCATGAGGAAGATGTCAACAGTGGATAAATGACTTATATGAGGAAACGTAGGTGTAGCCCAAGAGGAAAATTAAATTATATGAGAAGATATTTACAAGTAAAATTGCTGTCAACAATCCAGAACACATAAAAACTGTCCAAAAATTACAAAAAGGTAAAGGCAAAACTTAAGAAAAATACAAATATACTATCATGGTATTTACATGATTATCCGACACAATCAAAACATTGCATTCTTAATGGTCCCAGCTGACAAAGCTGGTACCAACACTGTCTTTGTTTGTAAGGCTCATTATTTGAATTGTATCTTAGAGGAACTAGGATTTAATTCTGCAGGTGGACATCCAACTTACACCCGTAGCTCCCATTCTAAGGAGGAAATTCTTCAAAATCATTTGTCCGTCTTAGATGTTTTTTAATATTCCTAACAATCAAAATGAATTTGAATTACCATACCTTTACTGGAATTCTAAACTTCATAAAAATCCTTAAAAACAAAGATACATAGCGGGTTCCAGTAAATGTTCTACCATGCCTCTTTCTTTACTCCTCACTAAAATATTTACTATAATAAAGGAGAAACTTCAGGAATACTGTACAACAGTATATTCGAAAAGTGGTGTAAATCAGATGTGGATACTTAAAAACTCAAAAGAACTTTTAGAAAATTTGAAATCACAAAAGTTTACTTAAATTAATAACATCAAAACGTACGCCTTTTCAACACTTTATACAACTATTCCCCACGATAAATTAAAGTTCAGGCTTTTTGACATCATAGACAGCTGTTTTTTTTTTCAATAAAAATGGAACTCGAAAATATACTTGCCTTGTAATTTGTCATTTACAAAATTATTTTGTTAAAAAGCATTCTGATTGTACACACAGGTACTCTGAAGTCGATTTTAAAAAGATGCTCGAGCTTCTGATTGACAATATCTATATAGTTTTTGGAGATCAGGTCTTGCAACAATCTGTTAGAATACCCATGGGTACAAATTGCGCCCCCTTATTAGCAGACCTATTTTTGTATTCATATCAAGCAGAATTTATACAAAAACTTCTACATGAGAAGAAGAAAAAACTTGCTGTGGCCTTCAACTCCACATTTCGTTATATCGATGACGTATTATCAATTAACAATAGTTACTTTCATTCATATGTCGACTCGATATATCCCAGTGAGCTTGAAATAAAAGATACCACAGAGTCTGACACATCGGTTTCATATTTGGATATTTTACTAGGAAAAGACGTTAGTGGTAACCTAACAACAAAGCTTTATGATAAACGTGATGACTTCAACTTTTCAATCGTCAACTTCCCTTCCATTTGTAGCAATATACCCTTATCACCTGCATATGGGGTTTATGTCTCTCAGTTGATTCGATACGCAAGAGCATGCTCAACGTATGAACAATTTCTAAGTCGAGGCAAGCTATTGACAAACAAGTTGATGAAACAAGGATATAAACAGTCTCGCTTGAAGTCATCATTTTGCAAGTTTTACGGCCAATACAATGACCTTGTCAGCACATACAATCTATCATTAAGTCAAATGCTGACTGATGTTTTTCATACTAATTGTTAGACCATTACTTATACACTGAACTGTCTATGGATTTTTCTGGGGGGTTTTCCGATCATAACAAGGAGCACACGGTGGTGAGACCGTTCGGCAGGGGATGCTCACTCCCCCGCGGTACCTGATCCCACCTCTAAATTTTGAGGTCCGTGTTTGCTCTGCTTCAAATTTGTATCGTTTCATTGGACTTTCGAGATTGAATACTGTTCGTTATCTTCATATTTCACAACAAAGATCAATGTGCAACCATATGTTGACCATTGATTACATGACTAATGCAACCAAAGGCTGAATCACTTTTAAAGATGTCGATTAAAGGGGGCAAAAATTGACTTGTTTGCAAATATAATCTGTCGTGAGAATGTTGACTGACGCTTTTCATGCACATTGTAAGGCTAATATTTTTATACTTATATATCTGTTTACCTGATCGTGACAAGAGAATTCAAAGTGGGTGTGACCCGTAAACAGAGATGTCTACTCCTCCTTGGCACCTGATCCCGTATCTGATGTTTCTGAATGTATGTGTTTGCTTTGCTCTCAATTTATAATGTTTAATTGGACTTTTGAGCATGAATATTGTTAGTTATCTTCACATTTCATGACATCAAATGCATAATCAACAAACTTTTTTTTTCAAATTAGATATTCATAAAAGCTTTAATAATGATCCTGTAGATAATGAACAAATGAGTATGCAAAATAAACTTCTTTGCAAAAATCTTTGTCAAGCGAATAATACATAAAAAAAACGAACCACAAAATGAATTCACAACAAATGATCATATATGCACAGCAAACAGTGTCCTTTGCAATTTAAATGAAGGTAAAATCAAGATAAAAAAATTTTCACCGTGTTTACATATATTGAAATCAACATATATAAACTCGAGATGAAAAGACACAAAAAATAAATAAAAGGAATAAACAGTCTTTGGGTGGCGCCTCATAAATTTACAATATTTTCTAAGGTGTTTTTTTTTATTTGCCCTTTCTTTTTCCTTTAATTAGGTTATCGCCCAGAGTATGACTATTTTCGATTAATGAAAGAAAATTCGTAATCTATATTTACTTTTAAAAACCATCAAAGCATAAATGTATCGGAGGTTTAATTTTTTGATAACACAACAAAAATTGTTTTCAACACAACAAAATTTGTTTGACGTTGTGAAATACGGGAAGATACCATTATGACGTTGCAATAGATATAAGTGCAAATAAGCATCCCGGACCAATTACTAAATTTCAAAGAATGACGATACTTATTTAGTAAACTCATTGAAGTAAGTCCTGATAATGACTCTGACTCACGGTAACTTAACCTATTAAAGTATGAATTTATTCTTTAATACATATTTAGTTTCAATCTTCGTCATTCCAAATCAATTATATTTGAATGGTGTGACACGTTGCAAAACATCAATGACAGAAATAGGAGAGTTCACACAAAAAACTTTAGCTGTTATGCGCCTGTATATTTGAAGAATATAGAAACTTATGCACTTATTATTCAAATTATTGCCATGGAACGTTTAAGTGCTAAAAGATGCATGCTAGGTCTACAGGAACAACATTATAGAAGATAATAAGGTTAACCAGAGTTTAGTAGATATCGCTCGGGACTCCGTATTGAGACAAGCAAGAAAGTTTAAAGATCAAACCCTAGTGATTGGTTTTAGACAGGCTTTTTATTCTTTAATCCATTACATGTAAGACGCTATATAAACCTTTGTCCATTATACTTCGCGGTGTGAAAAAATTATGAAAAGACAATTTGTAGATGATCTTTGAAATATTCAGGCCCTTTCAGATCAATGCCACTTTTCATTGTGAAAACTGAAAAAATATAAAGTATAATCAATGTTGCGTTTTTTCAGAAGACTTTCACGGATTTGTTGCTGAATAACGAGATAAACACAAACTTAATAAATTCATAAATGTTTTATATGACTTTATATAAATGATAATATAAGTGACTTTATCAACTAAGATATTCAATTATATTGTTGAAAGGTATTTAAACAGCAATCTTTAATTACGAGATTTTGATCCCGAAATTGTATGAAATCGTCTAAAAACATCTAGCTGTTCATGCATTAGATCGTCTTGTTTTTGATTATTTATTTTATTTTTTTTTAATTTTTTTGGTCGAATGTTTACGGAAGCCCGTTGAGGCCAGTTCAAAGAAAGAAATATTTTTAATTGCGTTTAATCGCAAAAGATTGCGATTAATCGCAATAATCATTGCGTTTAAACGCAAAAGATTGCGTTTAATCGCAATGTATATTGCGCTTAAACGCAAAACACTTTGCGTTTAATCGCAAAAGATTGCGATTAAACGCAATCTTTTGCGTTTAAACGCAATGATTTTTGCGATTAAACGCAATAGTTCTTGTGTTAAAACGCAATAATATTGCGATTAAACGCAATAATATTGCGATTAAACGCAATACTTTTGCGATTAAACGCAATACTTTTGCAATAATTTTTGCGTTTAAACGCAATATTTTTGCATTTAAACGCAATAATCTTTTAGTTCAAAGGCAATAATCTTTGTGTTTAAAGGCAGTCATTTGTATCAAACCTTGCAGAGTACAGTGGACCCACGCATACTTATATCTTTTATTTCTTTCTCTTTTAACTTATGAGGAAATTGCGTATTGTTTAGCTTTATAGAATCAGGATTCTCCGAGCAAACGCTCTCTTAAAGGATAAATCACTAATAAGAATTTATAGAGGAGAAAAAAATGTCGGGTTGTAAAAACAAAGGCAACCTAAGAACGAGACATGTCTTAAGCTTATTATTCTCTACATTCTTAATGAAGTTTTGGTCAGTTGCTCTGTTAAAAAAAACTGTCCCCTACGTTGCGGTCACAAGTTTAACCCATGTATAAAGGGATTTTTGGAAAGGACTGAGGGAATGTTGGAATTACGTACAACATGATGAAATATTTAGACTTTAATTTAGGTCAAGATCTAGTAAATGAAAGGAGCCTACAGATTTTGCAAATTTGAGAACTGAATTCCTTTTATGATGCTTTATAACTATGGCTTGGTCAAATAAGGTGTATCGGGGTATAATTGTAGGTAAACAAGACGAAAACTCATATTTTAAACTGTCATTTTCGATGAAAAATTAAGAAAGTCAGTCATGAATATGGGGTTTTTTGTCATATCAGACAAATGAAATGTATCCAGATTGCCTACAGTCTCTCAGAAAACAGTAATTTGTATGTTCTTAGCCTCTTCTTTGAAATAATGTAAAATTGAATATAGGAACCGGGATTACTTTTTATACGATTTCAAATTGAACGCCATGAAAATACTTTATCTTCTACATAAGTCTATTAGAGTCGCAAAATACGGGAAAAAGAAAGTTGGAATTGATTATGACGTCATAATGGATCTAGCACCAAAAAGACATTCTAAAGTCATTTACTAGATCTTGACCTTAATGTACATTCATAACCCTTCCTATGGTTGCATACAGTAAACACAAGAACATATGTGATGGATTTATATGAGATATCAAATCAAATGAAAACAGATTGATCGATGTGCACTACATGTATCAAATTGACAAGTGCTATTAATACCACTGAAACATTCTCTATAAGTTGTGATAAACGTAAGCAATTGGTCAGAGACTTCATTAAGAGTTTTGCGTTCTAATACATTAAAGACATTCAGGTTGTTAGGATGCCATTGTTTTACTACAATTTTCAAAAACGGGAAAATTTTGCAAAAAGACACAGAACAAATCGTATTTCTTAAAGTTGAAGTGTCGGGTCCTAGTACATTTATGTACATGTAATTATAAACTTTGACTAATTCATGTTTGATTTTGAAACTACAGTATCATTGTGTTTAAATGCAAAACAAATCCTTATAAGGAAGGATTATTGCGTTTAAACGCAAAGATTATTGCGTTTAATCGCAAAAAATTATTGCGTTTAATCGCAATACTATTGCGTTTAATCGCAAAAGTTCTTGCGTTTAAACGCAAAAATTATTGCGTTTAAACGCAAAAATATTATTGCGTTTAAACGCAAAAAGTATTGCGTCTCTGAACTGGGCTCAACGGGCTTTCGTAAATGTTTGTCAATCACGTTGAAATGTAATTTCCTTAGAAATAGTATCGATTTATTTGAATAAATACTATATATAGTGCTGTTTAATAAAAATAATTTCAAAATTAATAATCACATCATTATTGATAAATAGCATGTTATCTTCAAATTTGAACCATTGAAAATACATGTATACAGTCTAAAAATCAAATTTAAAACTAACTTTTCCTTACTTGCAACAATCATACAATATAAATTGTTTTGTTTGTTTGTTTTTTGTTGTTTAACTTCCCTCTCGAGAATTTTTCACTCATATGGAGACGCCACCACTTGCCGGTGGAGGGCTACAAATTTTGTCCTATACTCGGCACTTAGGGCCATTGAGCAATAAGGGATCTTTTTCGTGCCAACACCTACTGCGACACGGGACCTCGGTTTATACGGTCTCATCCGAAGGACCGGCCTCCACGTCCCGCAGATTCGAACCCGCGACGTAAGGATCAATTCCTTACTATGCGACTCTAGAGCAGACGCTCTAATCACTGCGCCACGCGGGCGACACAATATAAATTGAGAAATATTTTTTATAATATGTATTTATAACTTAAAAACAATTTAGAAGTATTGAAAAAAAATGTCGTGTGAACGTTCAATTATGGAAATTTGAAAAATTATAGTCAATAGTGTTGGTAGTTTAAAAATAATTCTTTAACCTACATTGTAACTGAGAGGTTGCAAGGAGAGCCCATCTAAAAGTATACAAAATATCCATAATGATCATCGAACTTTAATGTCCTTTGAACTCTAATGTGATTTAATCCACCTCAATGACTTTCTTTTCACTTTTTTTCAATGACATCCTCTTTTCAGACTCTGCGTTTCATTACAGATGGCGATGACGTAGCGTTTCCAGACGTATATAAATATTTGAGAAACTCTAGTTTACCCAGTGGTTAATAAACCATCATTTAAAATGTTCCATTATTCCACTTTTATATTCACTTTTCTTCTTTTTCAAGAGATTTATTCTCTTCCAGCAAAATATTCAGATGGTAAGTTTTCACATTTTTTCCAACTATACTTTATATTATGGTACATGTAAATTTAAATTAGAAAAATAAGATAATTATTTCTGTATTTATTTTTATTTAATTTATTACTTTTTTGTTTATCCCCTTTCCCTCTTTTATTCATTCCTTTAGTTGTATTTTGTAACAGTTATAAATCCATTGATTTTTCAGCAACATGTAACAATTTTTATCTTAGGGCACATGTACATAAATTTGTTACACTCATTTTATGTTTCATTTCTAATATATAAATAATAACAATTGTAGAAAGTCAAAAAAATAATGCTTAGGTAACTTTGATATTTTTCTTCGTTTCTCAAATCAATGAAATCTTAAAAAAGAACCAAAATATTCATTATTTGAAAAAGAAATCTTTAACTTTATATAATGATTCAATATTCAATTACTATTCATTATCTAAATTACCATGTAGTTAAAATTCTGATCTAAAAATATCACTACGTAATTTGCATCAGCGATTCTTATACTTTATACAAAGGACATTTGACACATAAATAAGATAAAACTGCATGATGAGAAAGAATACAATCAGAAAACATTTGTCATTTTACTGCCCTTTTTTACAGATTACCTAGAACGATTGCTGAAAGATATTCTATATGAGAAAAGAGAAAACGAAGATAACCATGGGAAAAGTCATGGGAAAAATAGCAAACATCGTCTTAAGTTAGAGGATATAGAAAAGGTAAACAAGGAAGACTATCGTATATAGATTTCATGTCTTTATGTCTTAAATGTCTTATTTATTACGGGTTTTCTCTCTCTCTCTCTCTTTCACTTTTATTTTTTATATTCTTGCTTTTTAGGCATATTGAGAAGGATTTCTACAAAACAATTTCCTAAACCATATTTTTTGTAGATGACAATTTGTTTTGAATTTCTAAAATGAAACTAAAAGTTTAAGTTAACCAAATATTCCCAGAAAACATGTCGAAGCATTGTGATTCATGAGGTCATTTAAATATGAGTTTATGTATTTCATATAAAAATAACCCCCTTTTCGACCTTAAAAAGCAATAAAACGTAAAATAGTTACATGTATTCACATCTTGCGCAAAAATGACACGCCTTGTGGCCAGAATTCGAGATTTTAAATTTGATTGGTTAATTCCCGCCATTTCTAAGACAAAGAAAAATTCAAAATTGAATTTGTAAGATAAACACTTGATCATCACCAATTTCAACACACAATATTTCAGATTATAAAATTGAAAGAGAATACTTATTGATATTTATGAGGAAAAAATTCTTTAAAAAGCTTTTTTATGCCTGATGATAATACATAAATTAATAGTGAAGCTAATAAGGCACTCAAATGTGTTCAAATAAAAAAAAAACAGTAAAGAACTCTAGAAATATAGTTAATGCATGTTTGCAAAATATGAGAAAGAGATGGTGTAAAGTTTCCAATTAATGTTCATGGTTTCCTCAATATGCACTATGAATATCTCATTTATTCAACGCAGTGTATGTGCATGTGAACATAAAATATACATAAAATGTTAAATTCACGGCAAATTTGAAATTTAAGATTTTAGCCTCAATTATTATTGCTTCCCATTTATTAAAGTTTTTTTTTCAATTTGTAAATTTAAATCACGCTTGATGGACAAAGAAACATTTTAATAAAAATTTAAAAGGCAGACAAAATGTTTAGACACTCAGTTTATTCTTTCATCAGATCAGATTAAGCGAAAACACACATAAATCTCCGTACAAATGACGCGATAGCAAAATTCAAATAAAGCATCAATGTATATAATTCAAATCAACAAATTATTAAAATTACTTCTGAAATCTACGCATTTGATTATTCATCCTAATCTATTTATGATACTAGCAAACCATTCTGTTAAGGCTACAGTCACGACGAGTATCATCTATTCCCTCCCTCTGTCTTCTGTAATCAAGGGCTCCGTTTACAAAAGAACTTTTGACTAAGACCAAAATGTAATATAAATATAGAATATAGATAGTAAACAACATTCTATGATACATTATTTGAAAATGAATTTTATCTTTTAAAAGAATTTTGAATGATTATTTTATGGACAAAAATTTAGAAATTCATTGTTTTTTTTTTGTTTTTTTTTTTTTTTTTTGTTTTTCTTCTTCTTCTTCTTCTTCTTCTTTTTTTATTTTTTTTTTTTTTTACGAATTTACGTTCAAATAAAGTTTTTGATTTAAGTTCTTTTGAAAAAGGTCCCCAGAGGTGAAAAAAGAAAATTTAATAGATCACATGATTAGTATCTAATTGTCAATGCTGAATGACAATGCATTTAACGACAGAGTCTTTATTAAGCTCATTTTTACAATTGCATTTTTGAGGAGCGTTACATTAATTCTACTTCACTCACAGTTTTATTTCAAAGAAGGATGCGATTTTTCAAAATCAAACGCCCGATTTAAACATTTTTAATGTTCCCTCCAAGGGGTATTATTTTCTTATGGAGTTGGGGAGGGGGGTTCCAAGGTCATTAAACTTGCGTAAAGCTTGAGTAAATTCGCTTTGTTAATTTAATAACTTCGAAAATTTAATTTACTGTGCAAATTTAATAACTGAAAATTCCAGAGAAAATCCCCCCCCCCTCCCCATTCAACCCCATCCTCTAGATACGTGCATAAAAAAATTATTTTCTTTTATTGAGAACGGAAGTGAGATACGATCTCTAATAAAACTAACGTCCAAATAACTGTATCTCACTTCCATTCTTAATGACCGTGTAGTGTAGGACATCGCCGCGAGAATTCCATCGGCATCGAAAGCCAAGTTTTTGACTTGCCTAGATGCATGGCCGAGCGGTCTAGTACGCTGTTCCTGTACTGCTAGGAGACAGATTCCGTAGGTCCAGAATTCATTCCCGGCTTAGGGCGGAAGTGGGTATCCTTATAAAAGTGAATTTCTTTGTCTTTCTATATCAATATTTCTTCACTTAGGGCAGTTATGTTAGTTTATGAAATGTTGTAAAATGTGCTTTATATATAAAATTAATTCATTACAATGTATATCGGTAACTATCCTCTAATAAAACTAATGTCCAAATAACTGTATCTCTCAATGACCGTTTAGTGAAGGACAACGCCGCGAGAATTCCATCGGCATCGAAAGCAAGTTTTTGACTTGCCTAGATAACCGAGCGGTCTAGCGCGCTGTTCCTGTACTGCTAGGAGACAGATTCCGTAGGTCCAGAGTTCAACCCCCGGGTTGGGGTGGAAGTGGGTATCCTTATAAAAGTGAATTTCTTTGTGCTTTCAATATTAATATTTCTTCTTTCCTCACTTAGCGCAGTTATGTTACTTTATGAGTTGTTGTAAAATGTGCTTTATATATATACATTGTGTATAGAGAGAGAGAGAGAGAGAGAGAGAGAGAGAGAGAGGATATTCAATGTTTTGTTGATGAATATGAAATTTATTTCACGAGTGGGACAGGATTTTTTGATATTTTCACGAGTGCGAAGCACGAGTGAAAATATCAAAAAATCCTGTCTCACGAGTGAAATAAATTCCATATTCATCTACAAAACCATGGGCGGATACAGGATTTGTGATTGGGGGGGGGGGGGGGCGTGGATAACTTCGTTCAGGCAGGGGGTCTGGGTTCCTGGGTTTTCGTGTATTTTAAGAGTAAAACCAGGCACAATAATAGTGGTATTGGTTAGTTTATATGTACCAAAGTTTGGCATTATTAATACTAATCATATACTTTGAATAGAGGGGGCCCAGGGGGCGAAGCCCCCGGAAGCTCCTGGGTTTTCGTGTATTTTAAGAGTAAAACCAGGCACAAAAATAGTGGTATTGGTTAGTTATATACTTAAGTATGGCATTATTAATATTAGTCATATCATAGTTTGAAAATTTTAGGGGGGGGGGGGCGTACGCCCCCCCCCCCCTTAAATCCGCCAGTGAAAACATTGAATTTTCTGTTTATTACATTTTCTTTGATTTTCCCTTTGCCTCTGTCTTTTCTTAACACAGTGTCATAGGCTTGACGTCATAGTTGAGCGGTTGAGACGTCATAGCTTAGAAGTTGTGTGTCAGATTGAAAACATTACATAGCATGGATTTTAGCAACATATTTAGGAAGAAATTTGCAGTTTTAGCTCTATCAAGATGCTTAGTTACTATCTCTATCTTATGACAGGCCAGAAATTATTTTTTACTTACTTTGATATCCTTTCACACTGTGAGAGAATATCATTTTTGGTATTCTTTCACATTGTGAGAGAATATCACTTTTATTCAATAAATAAATCACAGTATTTCACTGTTGAAAATGTAATATATATATATATACATATATATATATATATATATATATATATATATATATATATATATATATATATATATATATATATATATATATATATATATATATATATATATATATATATATATATGTATTAGCATAGTTTTCTTATGTTCACATTAAACGTATTTATCCTGATATGATTTCAGTGAAAGATGAACATAAATTGTTACCTATTCTTAAAAATGCTTATATGTATAGCATAAGTTGATAATGATTTATGATAAATGTAGCTCGTTCACATACTTCAATTAAACTCTGCATTTTTAATAGCAAGGAAGGAGCTGCAACCTTGCTTTTTACAACAAGAAATTAGAATGGATATGATATCTACCCGCAATCGTTTTTCTATAAGACTTATAGCATATTTTTTTCAATAAACATCAAATATGTTGTCATTTGAATTATTTTACAAATTAGATATTTAAAAAATTATGTTGTTAAATTTTTTAATCTTAAATTGTGACTTTCTCAAGAAATGTTCACCTATTTAATCTATTTGAGCGTTTTACAGGGGCATATTTACAACCAAATAGGAATTTTATTAGGAAAAGATCGAGGATAAATGCAAATGACACCGTTTTGACAAATACTTAATAACTATAATCCGTTTTAGTCAAGTCTATATCCAAGTACTTGCGCACCACTTACCCTGGTTCTTAATAAAAGAATTTCAAAAAGAAAGAGTTCAAAACCCACATACCTCTTACTTTCAGCACAACCGTTCGTTATCTTCACATTTTATACAAGTTGGGGAAATAAATCTGTATGTCAAATAAATGTCATTAATTTTCGACATATGCGAAAAGTTAGAAACTTTATTACTTAAAACAATACAAGTTTGTATTCCAAATGAGATCAAGTTTATATACGCTCGATTTTCAATAAGCAACAGTTGTGACGACATTTGACGCTAAAAAATAGAGTTTAACTTTATCCCAATTTAACATCTTCACTTCAGATGGTTTCCTTTGTTTTGCAGGGAAAATATCTTCAATGTTCTAATATATGTGATTATTATTTAAAGCATTTCAATTTCAGGAATTTACTAATGTTTCATTTTTTCAACTCTTTTATCATATCTATCTTATAGTCAGAGTTAAACTTGCACTCACTTGCCCAGGATTACGCAGAACGACAACTCGATTACTTACCTGACGGAGCACATAAGGTATGTTCTTAAATCAATGTCACTGTTTGAACATTAATATAATTTTGAAAATGGTTTGCTCATTGCAAGCCGATTTTTTTTTCTTTTTTAAAGAAGAACCAAGGAATTTTATTTTGGAGGATTTTTCATCGATTTTTTTTTCTTAAACCACTTATTTAAGGAATCACTGTTTAGTTAGTAGAATATGCCAGGGCATCAGCGATAGTTGGAAACGTGGGATAATTTGCATAACGGGCGAAGCCCGTTATGCATAATTTATCCCACGTTTCCAACTATCGTTGATGTCCATGGCATATTCTACTAACTAGACAGTGATTCTTTATACCGGTATTTCCATTTCATTGTGAAATAAAATTGTAAATTTAGATTTTAAAAAATGTAGACTTATAGATTTAAATTACACGAGGCCTCCCATGTCAATTTCAATAGTCTCCGCCCACTGACGTCAAACACAGACAGCCGCACGAGATTTACCTGCATATTATGCCTCCTTAGCGTCAGACACAAGGCAGACGCACGAGATTTACATGCATATTAGGCCATCTTAGCTCCAGACCTATTGCTTGGCGAAATTTACATTCCGGTAAAATGATAAAGAAATCAACTCATCTAACTTTCAAAGAGTTATCACAGAGGGGAAAAAAAAGAAATTGAAATATATTAGGATAATTAAGACCACATGTTCTGATATCATTTATTCTTTGGACAAATATATAAAATAGAAGTTTTTCTTCGACATAATGCAAACTGTTTACGTTGTTTTGTTTCTACAGCCCAAAAACCTGAATAAAAAGGAGAAAGAGGAAGAATTAGCACTGGACAGAGATGTACACAAAATGTCCACCAGATTCCGAGTAAGAACATGCTATATACGTGCTAACATAAAGACATGCCATCCATATTCTAAAACAAATATGAATCTTTTCAGATTCCAAACAAGTCTGCCAAAAGGACCTTCTATCATGATATAGGCTGGCGCTGGCCAAACCGAACAATTTACTATGTCATTGATTATCCATCCTTTGGTATGTATAATCGTACTCCGTCATTGATTAATGATAATCTTACTCCGTTATTGAATATTCATTCTTTGGTATGTATAATCTTACTCTGTCATTAACTAATCATTCTTTGGTATGTATAATCTTACTCTGTCATTAACTAATCATTCTTTGGTATGTATAATCTTACTCTGTCATTAACTAATCATTCTTTGGTATGTATAATCTTACTCTGTTATTGAATATTCATCCTTCGGTAAATATAATCGTACTCCGTCATTAACTAATCATTATCGTATTCTGTCATTGAATATTCATTCTTGGAATCTATTACTTCGTCATTGAATATTCATCCTTCGGTATGTATAATCTTACTCCGTCTTTTTGTATGTATAATCTTACTCGTCATTGAGTATTCTTTTGGAAGCTTTATTCTTCGTCATTGGTTATCCGTCCTTTGGTACGTTTAATTGCACTCCGTCATTGGCTATTTATACTTTGGTACATGTATGTATATTATTACTGTCATTGACTATTCATTCTCATACATTGTAGAACCTCTTGAATTAATTAGATTTGTTAGCATAATGGTATTTTTGCTCAAAAAGGACGCCAAAAGATCTAGTCAATTATTTTATCTTTTTAGATCCTTACATCGCAAACGCGGAAGACAAAATTAAATCGTCCCTGGCTCTTTTCGAGGAGGCAGCTTGCATTCATTGGGTAGAAGTAACAGAGGCCAGCGCATCCAACAACTATATCAAGTTCTATGGAAACACTACTTCGTAAGAAATATGTTTATATAATAAGATTGATTCCTCTTTAATATAATGATATAATTTTTTGCTATTTCTTTCATATAATACTATAAAATGCCAATATTTAAGGTGTGCTTCGTATGTGGGATACATTGGAAGAACAGAGCAAAAAATTTGGCTGGGACCAGGATGTTTATGGGTAACTATCTCTCTCTCTCTCTCTCTAGGTGTGGGTGTGTTTGTGTGTGTGTGTAATTATACGGGTATTCAGAAATACATTTAAAACTGCATTTCCCCTACTGTTTTAACAGACTTCAATTGTTCTCCACGAAGTTCTTCACGCTTTGGGGGCTTGGCACGAACAGCAGAGGACTGACAGAGAGGAAAATATATGTGTTCTTTTTGAAAACATTAAACCCGGTGCTGAAGGCAACTTTGAGAGACAGCACATACATGAATACGCACCCTACAATCTTGGATCCGTTCTTCAATATGGTTTATCCGTAAGTCATTGTATAAGACACTGTTATCCACAGTTTCGTTGTCTTAAGTTCCTTAGGTGTCTTTGTCTTTGAAATAATTTTATTTGTTTGGTTGATTGTTTTTTTTTTTAAATTCAATTTAATTATTTTTCGGAATAAACATATTTGACATTTTGAGGAAATGTTTTTATCAAACAATAATTATGATCATACATATGATTGTGTTCAATCAAGGTTTTGATTGTATGTTTCCCTGAAAACTAGAGACTCGTCATCCCTATCCCACCATAAAACAAATATTCAAATAAAGTAAAAATTAAAGTAAATCTTTTTTTTCCTATATCCTAAGAGTTTTGCAAAACAGCAAGGTCTCCAGACAATGACTCTTCCGGACAAAGATTTGGAATATCTCATCACAAACAGTAAAGACGATCTGTCCTTTTACGATAAACTCAATCTGAACATGTATTATGAATGCCCAGGTGAGGAGATCCAAAATGTGTGCAATTATATCCTACAAACAGTCAAATTTTAATATATTAATATAAAAATATTAATTTCTTGTATAAATTGTAATAATGCTATCCCTTTTCAAATTCAGCAACATGCTCATTGACGACTTGTAGTAATGGTGGATTTGCCAAGATGAACTATCTTGGCGTCTGCTCATGTGAATGCCCAGATGGTCTGAAGGGATCAGACTGCTCTGAGCTAGACACGTCAAATAGTAAGCTTTTCTGATATTTAGTTTTATGCATGTAAAATGATTCTGGTCATGATTTATAATTAAGAGAAAACAAAGACATAACGTTACCTGTGCAAAATAATACAATTAACGAAAAAAGGAGAGGTTTATATATAAGGATTAAATTGTTAGAAAATATAAATTACGATGCCATTGCAGTTTTGACGTGCAAGATATTTGTAATTTTAGATTGTGGAGGAATTATTGACTTAGCATCACCAGGATCCAGTCAATTTGTCGAAATGACGTCATACAATACAAACCTTCTCTGCACTTGGCTGATAAAAGTATATTATATATCCTATTGGTTTCGTAAGCTTCAGTTTAACTCTCATTTTCCTTTGTGTAACTCTCCTTTTGTCGGCTTAAGGCTCCACTGAAGACCATGGTGAGGGCTACAATTGAATATCTAGACTTACCAGACAGCACGAATAACAACTGCTTGCACTTCCTCATCTTTAAGGACTACCTGATAGGCGAGCCTGGAAAACAGTTAAGCCATTTTTAAGGATAATCAGTTTTTGCTGTTTTTTTTTCTAAAGGGAGAGAATCAAATAATATAAATAGATTAAATCACGTCTTTAGTTCGGATTTATCGGTACCTTAAAGGTTTTCCAAAATTTTACTCTATACTTTTTTATCTAGGGAAAAACTTCGATTTTGAAAATAGTGAATTCTTTTAAAATTTCAAATAAATTAGCCAAAGTTGCAATTTACTTTGCAGGGCATGTGGAAATACTCCAGGCGCTGTGTACACCAAACACCTTCTTGGAGCTGAAAACATGATGATGATTCGATTTGACAGCATTTCCTATCCGCAAATTTCACCTGGCACGGGTTTTCGCATCAAGGTAGAGGCTATTCCTTCAGGTATGTATACCCTAGAAAAAAATAATACAGGTAACAATTATTCCAGAATTCTACCAGGTTTTTATGTTAAAGAATTGATGTTCATTTTTCAATTTTAGGTTGCTACAGCCACCCGTGTAAGTTTGGCGCCACCTGTCACGAGGGGACTTCAATTGATCAATACACCTGCTCCTGTCCCGAGGGATTCTCCGGACAGAATTGTGATTATGTCACAGGTAAAAAATAATGTCAAACAATTTATAATTTACATGATGGGCAAACAAGATACTTGTTGACATATGGAATTTCCTGATTACGTTTTCCTCTTAATCTAAAACAGAACGATGCTTATGGACAAAACAAAATATAAATATTGATAAAAAATATTGAACAAACATCTTAGTTTAAACAAGGGAAATTTAATATTGAAGAATATTCTTATAGAGCATAAAGAGTGCAAGTATCTTTCATTATGCTTTAGCCAATGCAACAGTAAGGTCTACTTTTGAAAAAGACTACACAGGAAGTATTTTTCAACAAGATCCCACATCGGAGTTTTGGTGGAGTATTGTATCGGTGAGTATTTTTGTTATTTTTATATACTTATATTTAATATAATTAAATATTGTCGACGGAAGAAAAACAGACGATGGACCAAAAGACAAACAATGACCAAAAAAGACCATTTTCATCGATGGCTCATGTAACTTTTGTGTGAAATCCAATATTTCTTGTTGCAGAAACATAATTTTGATGGCACTAGTGTGTACCCTCACTCAGGGACACTGTTCGCCACCATGATTCCCTACCTCACCATCTTCTACCTCCATACAAGAACCAAACTCCGAACGGAGGCCACATTTGAAGGTTCATTTTAAACTTTTATGATCTCTTGATCTGCGAAACTATAAAATAGTAAACCCTTTATCTTTGTTTGTGATTTTATTTTTTTAAAAAAATACAATCAAACACGTATCATACGCATTAATGATATTTGACAAGACATCTTATATCAGAACTTAGTTGAAACTGGTGAAATCGTAATTCGACATACAATACAAAAGTATGTGGATATACATAAAATTGTGTACATATATTTTATTTTATTTTCAAAATCAGCAACGGAACGTTGCCTGAACATTACTTATATAATGGACAACAAGACCAATCCCTCCTATCCACAATACTACACTAAGTTAATAGTCACTGTCCTAGACGGAGAGAGCTTACTCAACGAATACACCATTTCTGGTGATACGCAAACAACATGGCGGAACACACTTGTGGATCTACCAGCTGTTAATGACCTAAAGGTCTCAAAATTTATTACATTATCCACATATTTTGGAGATTCTTTTTATTTAGCAATTATGGTTCTGATAAGTTGTTATTAATTTACACATCCTCGTAATATAATGTATTGTAAATTTGGAAATTTTCAGTTTTTTTTTAAGTATTATGAGTTACATGTTATTTTATCAGGTAGAAATAACTGGCGTCTATGGGTGGAACACATTTGGAATGGATGACTTGTTTATATTGCCAAGTTCCTGTGGTATATAATCCCAGAAATGAAGGGATTTTTTTTCATTATTTAATATTTTGAGCTTATTCGTTGCTTAAACAGTTTGGTCAATCATTATAGACTAATACATTTTTCTCTAATTTATTTTGATATTCTACATTATTATTAATTGTTGAAATGATACATGCATCATTGAAATTTTTTGGTTGTTTTTGTAAATACGTTACAGATCTGTAACTTGCTATTTTTTCTCAACAAATTTTTTCCGAAAACCAGTCATATATAATTTAATGCTTGAACAATTGTTACATGATATTAGGTGATTTAAGTTACTTAACATTAAGCTTTATAATTGTAGGCTGTGTTAACCATCGGTGCCTTAATGGACAGTGTATCCCCAATGGTGAGGTCTACACATGCCAATGTAACGCTGGGTATTCTGGGAATTACTGTGAAATCCGTGAGTAAATTAAATGTAATATCTTTTAAATACTAAATACTCCTATTTGATTGATTGTGAGGTCCATTAAATGTAAAAGTTCACTTATTAAACAAACTTGAAATTAGAAGTTCATTTTAAGACAAAACAAATGACTTGGGTCGTTCTTTAAAGCCGATGCTGTGGACGGTGGCTATACAGACTGGTCTGCCTGGAGCACCTGCACGGCTTCCTGTGGTGAAGGTACCCAGACACGTACACGCACGTGCACAAACCCGCCCCCACAAAACGGAGGAGCTGACTGCGTTGGCGAAAGCACTCAGACACAGACTTGTAATATTCAAGGGTGTCCTAGTAAGTTTAATTCAATAACACGAATTTTGTATGCAGGAAACTTTTGGAACTCTTATTTCATTCTATTAAAAAACATAAGTTTATCAATTTTATAATCACAACATGCATGAAAGGAGTAATGGTTTAAGGTATACATTTTCTTAGTTAACGGTGGTTATACTAAGTGGTCTGAATGGGACATGTGCACTGTTTCTTGTGGCGACGGTACCCAAACACGCACTCGTACTTGCACAAATCCAACTCCACAGAATGGTGGAGCTGACTGTGTAGGATACAGTAGCCAGACACAAACCTGTAATCTGCAAAATTGCCCAAGTAAGTACAAATAAGCTTGTTCCAAATGTGGAAAACTTGTTCTTTTATATATTTCAGGGGGAAACATTCTATACGATATTGCCAAGAATACAACAACTCAGATTCAATAAAATTGTCATAATTCCGTATCCTTGATACTTTTTTATTTTAGTGAATGATTAAGTGGGCATGTTTATATATACCTTTATCGATCAGTCAGCCATTAGCTGTAAAACATTTGAAAACTTTGTTTATCACTTACTTTATATCAGAGTTACATATTGAAGAGTTTATTTATAATCAGAATTTGAAAATTAAGCTGTGAAATATGTCTATCAGTGTAAAAATATCAAAACTAAAATAATTTATCTCAGAGCTTCAAGATTGTTTTCATTAAAATTTTTAAAAGTTCCTTTGAGTTTCATTAATATTTCACGTAAACGTACGCCTAGTATTTGCTAGTACTACTATTCAGTATGTTCTGCCGGTTTAAAAAAAAAAAACAAATTGGTAAGCAAAACTTTTTCGTATGTGTTGACAAGAAAAAGATTTTAAATGGCAATAGTGGTCGTGAGTTCTTCCAATAATAAAAACTCAGGAAAACTTTTTTGAAACACCCTTATACGTGTACGGTATAACGCATGATCAAAGTACATGTATATTTTTCGGGGGAGGGGGGGGGGCATTTTTAACATGTATGAATTTGTATTCAAATCGACAAAAACTATGCAATGTTTTATGCCAAATCACTTTAAAATTTCCTTTGACATAAAAGAAATTTTGAAAAATGTTTCTATTCTGAATAATACATATTTCTTTCAATTTTTATATTATTTTTATAAGTTGACGGTGGTTATACAGAATGGACGGTATGGAGCACGTGCACGACTACCTGTGGTGGAGGTACCCAGACACGTTCACGCACATGCACAAACCCGGCTCCACAGAATGGAGGAGCTGATTGTGTGGGAGAGAGTAGTCAGACACAGAGTTGTAATGATATTTTGTGTCCAAGTAAGTTTTTCTTTCTCAGAATATACCTGGAATATTATTCAGGCTATTTTTATCCTTAATAATAACCAACGAATTACTAAACATTACAAAAGATTATAACGGGTGTGTAAAAATGTGCATAAGCACAAAAAAAGAATCGCATAGAAGTCTTTCATCCGCCTGTTTTAATTGGTATTTAAAAATGAAGATATAGCATGAGGAATAAGTCCCTGAATTTAGTAATTTTGAGGGAAAGTTGAGGCAATCTATCCCTACATTGATATAAGGCAAACATGAATACCGCAGAATAATTCGTTATTCTATTAATTAGTTGACGGTGATTACACAGAATGGTCTGCATGGAGCACGTGCTCAGTAACATGTGGTGAAGGTGTCCAGACTCGCACGCGCACTTGCACAAACCCAGCTCCAGCACACGGAGGAGCAGATTGTGTTGGAGAGAGTAGTCAGACACAAATCTGCACTGCCAACCCATGCCCTGGTAAGGAGTTGTAACCATTTACCTTCGGGGATTTAATCGATACTGTTTTGGGAATGGACGAATATGTTCCGTTTTGTTGTATCCATTTCGACAAACAACTGTGCATGATTTTTGTAAACTTTCTAGCAAGAAATAAAGCGTAGATTTTTCGGCCTGTTAACATACCTAAGCAAGCACTAATTCTCAAAAAAGAAGAAGAAAGATTTCTGTAGATTCCTAGATATACGAAAGAAATTCATTACAGCGTAATTTCGTTAAAAGCAGCACTTGCGAAATAAAATACATCTTGCTTTTATTTTTATTTAGCTGAAATGTGTCTAAAACCGGCCCCTTGATCATCATTCCTCTCGCGAATTCAGATTCCTTATAAAGTCTATGATTCAATTCTCGATATTAAATACTCGCTTAAAATAAGGAATCTACATTATTTGTTTTGAAAAATGATTATTATAAGAATAAAATTACTATCAGAGGAAAAACAAAGAATGGCTTTTTCTTTTCTAATTTTCCCTGAATATAATTAAAGCACAATCTTGCAACATTTTAGTTGATGGTGGGTACACGAACTGGTCTGCCTGGAGCACATGTACAGTCTCGTGTGGAGGCGGTACCCAAACCCGTACACGAACATGCACAAATCCGGCTCCACAAAACGGAGGTGCTGATTGTGTAGGAAGTAGTAGTGAGTCTCAGAGCTGTAACAACATTTTGTGTCCAAGTGAGTACATTTGAGAAACTAAAAACTGATTTATTGCATATCATACATATTCAATATGCATCTACTTTATGGAAAATAAATTCACTAAATGCGTTTTAAATTTAGCATAATCTAGAATGTAACTGAAATTATACCAAAGTATACTTTGAGCCAAACTGCATTTTTCCCATCTATCTTTTAACACTGCATATAAGCTGGTCATGTCACATACTTATATGTGAGAGAGTCATTTTTATAACATTTACATTCAATAGTCGACGGTGGTTACACTGAGTGGTCAGCATGGAGCACCTGTACGGCCTCATGTGGTGACAGTATTCAAACTCGAACACGCACGTGCACAAATCCAGCACCACAGAATGGAGGGGCTGATTGTGTAGGAGAAGATAAGCAGACACAAAGTTGTACCGTAGGCCTATGTCCCAGTTAGTTGTTCAACTATTTCCTTCTAAAACCTTTGAATTTTATTCAAAGACAAGACAATTCATCTTATTTCAAAAAAATCAGTTTATTTTAAGTAGTTTCCAGTATATAAGATTTATTTTGAAAGTATTTTAAAGAGAAGAAATAAACATTGAATGCTGAAAAATTATCCAAAAATTGTAAAATGATTTTGCACTCATTAGTGATTGATATATGCCACCACTATTAAGAATCACTATGAAATAAAATATTCTGTTCAAAACCACTGATTACCTCCTTTAGTGCGTTAATAAGCCCAATTGAAAAAGTTTCCATTGAACTTATCCCTAATAGATTCTTGGATCTATCGCGAAGGAGAAAAATAAATCACATGAACTTTTTGTACCGAGTTTAAGCAAACTATTTCAACTGTTTCAAAATTTGGACACCCAAAGAGACATGAAAGGATCATCATTTAGCTTTTATTCAGGAGAGTAAAAAAAATAATCTATGTCAATTTTGATATATAATCTAACATGACAAATCTAATTTACTGCATTATACACAATAATTTACACAATATATTTTTAAAAAGATTTTAATTGAAACCAACACTCCTCCATTTTTTACAAATACATTGTATCAATTAAGTAAAAGATACTGTCATCTATCTTTTACTAAGTATACGAACAGTACCAATACTCAAATGCTGTATAAACAAATTATTTTGCTGTATCTAGTTGACGGAGGCTACACCGAGTGGTCTGTATGGAGCACATGCACGGTCTCATGTGGCAGTGGTACTCGAACACGTACACGCACGTGTACAAACCCGACTCCAGCAAACGGGGGAGCTGAATGTGTAGGAGACAGCAGTCAGACAGAGAATTGTAATACTCAGGAATGTCCAAGTAAGTTGTTACAGGGCTGCCTTGTTCAAACTTTTTTCGATTTCCGAATTCATTTCCGAAACAATCAAAGCTTCTATAATCTTGATTTTCGAATACCAAAGTAAATACTAGTACATAATCAGTAGCATTTAACTTAAATTTTATACGCCTCGCTTACCGATCGCGGTAGCCTTGTGATCAGGTTTTTGAATCGATTCTAGTTCCCGGACCGCTTTAAGTAGTGACTCTTCCTTCGACATGCGCCCAGCATTAGAAGTGAGAGTCTCTCGGATGGCACAATCCAAGGTCCAGTGCCATGTTAAGCGTATGGCCTCAATGAGACAGTCATAAGCGCCATTCATGGGTCAAGATTTGTGGCTCCTTACCTTAAGCAGGTGACATTTCTACATAAGTGTAAAAATCTTGAATGGAGAATTAACTAACAAATAATTTGTCAATTTCATTTGCAGTATAACGGTAGGCATTTCCAGTCCGTTAACTTTCTTATGTCTGGATTACATCTTCACACTTTGAAGTCTAAAGATGAACAACTTTGTCAATTATTGCATGTTCAGAGATATATTGCAAACTACGAGCTGGTCACAGTGACCTAGAATTTTATAGACTTACAGAGTCAAATTGTGTTCAAATGTATCTTGCACAGTGAGAAACTGTGTCAGTAAAGATTTCTTGGAAAGGGGGGAGGCGGTTGAAAAGTAAGTAATGGTAAAATATTTTTTAAAATTCCGTTGCTATACAAATTAAGTCTGGAGGATTTCTGGCACAATATGAGATCTAGAATTATCTTACCCTCTGATCAGTGTAAAATGTGAAGATAACGAACAGTGATCAATTATTGATTTATATCATAAATCCAGTAAACGAAGCGAAACGTGAACACGGCAAAAACATTGACACCTGCAAACGGCAGAGGTGGGATCAGGTGCTTCGAAGGAGTATGCATCCCCTGTCGAGCGGTCATACCCGCCGTGGAACTTATGTATTGATCAGGTAGACGAAGTAATCCGTGACCAAATTTAGTATAAAAACAGTGAGCTGATATATCATTATGGCACTAAAGCAATTTAAGAATTTATCTGTCTTTCTGACTAGTTTATGCCCTTGTGGAGCATTTTTATAAATGATATTCTATTTCCAGTTTTTACCCATTATATTCAAGTGTGAAAGAGAAACCTTCAATTTTCTTTCTTTTAGATAAGTTTTTGTAAATGATGTACATGTATTTTCTATTTTCGCTTTCTTTTGATAGTAGATGGAGGTTACACTGAATGGTCTGATTGGAGTACCTGCACGGTCTCCTGTGGCGGAGGAACTCAAACACGTACTCGCACATGCACTAACCCAACACCAACAAATGGGGGAGCTGAATGTGAAGGAGAGAGTGGTCAGATACAGAATTGTAACACGTATGGATGTCCAAGTAAGTAAAAATAAACTAAATGTGGTGCCATGATGATCATTTATTACTGAGTGCTATCTTGACAATAATCATGTTGAAGGAGAGGGTAGTCAATAGAAGGATTTCAACTTGCAGATATAATTATCTCACCTTTTGTATTTTATACTTATTGACGATATACAAGACTTTCAGGTCTTGGGTTTTAAACTTGGAATCATCCTGCATGTTATCTGAAATACAGTTGATTAGTATTTTACAGAAAAATAATAGCGGCATGTTATCTTAATAAATTCGATGCATCCTGAATTATTACAGAAAACAGAAATTTACTAACAGTGTTTCGTTTTCAGTTACTTCTTCCAAGTGTGATTTTGAGGAAGAAATTGAAAATAACTGTTTCCTGGAGGAGGGAATTAATGATGATTTTGATTGGACAAGACATTCTGTATGTATATTTAAAAACAGACGCAAAAACACACAAAAAATACATATTTGATTTCTGAAAAAATAAGAAAACACCGTAAGGAAATTACTCTTTTCGGGTATTAAAGAATTATTTATAAAGTGTTATCTGCGAAAATTTGTCATTTTTATGCTTTGGTATCTCGGAGTAACTATGAATCATTCAATGCCACTTCGTTTTTTATTCAGGGAGGAACCGACACTCGTCGCACAGGACCGGGTAGAGCGTATACAGGTTACTTCTACAAATATATAGAAGCTAACGACAAAGAACCATATAGCACAGCAGAATTAGTCAGCAACGGAGTTTTTGCTGGTAACTGAACATTTTTCTAACGCACCTCCATCATTTTACATTTGTACTAGGACTATTGATATTGCTGCCTTCAATAAAACTTTCCTTTCATTATGAAGAGATTTTTAGGTATCGCTCAAGATATAATTGTTCCACACTTGTAAACAAATGGTTAAATATCTTTCCTCATCCAAACATTTGTCATTGTCTCATATACTAGACCTTGCTGAGCTGACATAACCTTTGATCAAGACATGACACTTCTAAATTATATCAAGAAGAATATGTATAGTTAGGATTTTTTCAATACATTGTTATAAAGTATTTGAAAGAGACAGAAGGAACAGCCAGATAAATAACAGTAAAAATGTAAAAAGAGTCCCTTCTGTATTGAAAAAGCAGTTTTGTTAAACTAATTAATATCAACGATCTTGGGTTTGTGTTTATCATTCGTAAGCAGGAGTCTACTGCATTAAACAAAAACTTAATTGCATGAAAACTTCCAGAACTTTTATTCTAGAGTTGATTATGTGAAGACGTAAAGAAGCCAACTAATATATATCTTAAATTTTTGTTTCTTACCTTGATTTTATTCTTAGATGCCACCTACTGCTTTGAGTTTTATAACCACATGAAAGGAAATCACATGGGTTCCCTGGAGGTGATAACAGTTGAAGGTGGCAACGAAAACACCGTGGTCCGCCTTGATACATCCAGGAAAGGTTGGATGAGATATTACACTACCCTGCAGCTCAACGGTCAGACACAGGTACGCTGTTAAAAAAACAATAAAATTCCTGAAATCACAGTGAAATGTAACGAGTTTACAATGATCAAAATATAAAGACTTGTTAAACATACAACATTTGAATTACAATCCAAAAAGAAGGCAAATGCGATTCAACTTTTTTTTACAAAGTGCTACATCTATTGACTTTGAAAATTGAACTTGACCACAACCTTCTTTCAAGAAAAAAGATTTTTGATGTTAACCTTTCATGCTTTAATTGTTTCGTTTTCCATCAGTTTTTATTTGAAAATACTAAAGTTACTGTACTGAAATTGTACTTTATGTACAAGATATTCAGAACTGCCGTCACACTTTGACCCCGACCTTGGCCTTTGACATTCGCTAATTCAGATTGTAAGATAAAATAAAGTTGCATATTTTATATACTTATATTATGGGTCTAAAATATTTCTTCCCTTAAAAAACACTCCTCATTTGCATTTCTATTTACATTTTTGTGTATCTTTAAATTTATGGGGAAAAAATCTTTATCCCACTTCTGTTTTGTATTCACGGTTGTCCTTAATTTATTGATTTAAAATGAATCTTTGTTAACCCATTTTATCTGTCAGCTGACCATTTCTTCTACTGTATATAAAAGCTAAAATTCCGGTTTACTTTTTGAATTCTGTTGCCTTTTCTATAGGGTTCTTTTATTTATTTTACAGCTTATTCTTCGAGGAACAAGAGGGTTTGGAAATAAAGGAGACATTGCTGTGGACAACATCTCTATTTCTATTTGTTAATTTTGTTATTTCCTAAGGACAACATCTCTATTTGTCAATTTTGTCATTTTCTAAGGACAACATCTCTATTTCTATTTGGTAATTATGCCATTTTCCAAAAACACTTTTTCGATGTTCATTTTGCATAATGGATCGTTATAGATCCCTTAAAATAAGAACATAGTCATCATTTGCCACTTGTAAAGAAATGAGTGTTAAATGTACAAAGCTTTTCTTAACTTATGCAAGCAGTTTATTAATCTTGCTTTTCAATGACTTATGTAATAGTCTTTGGTTTACTGGGTAAATGCACATTCAAATCATGCTTTAATGTATTTTAGTCTTCATCCTAGAAGTAAATTTTGGAATTAAAATGCAATTCTCAACCATCACTTCACATTTGACAGAATTAAAATTGTTTTATGTCAAATTTATGGTTTATGTAAAATGATATTTTGATGTCTGATTGCAATCTGTTATATGCTAGCAGTGTTCTTCTCTGCTGTTGTCATACAATTAACAGGTGTACTGCTCATCAACGTACAGTTCTATGTCATAATTATATCTGTCTATTCTACATGTACTTTGTATTTCTATTGTACACAAATTATCCACTGTGTTTGCAATGCAAACACTGACGTATGTAAGTGAAAAAGAAAACGAAATCTGATCAACCTAATCATGGACCAATGGTTTTCAAAAGTACAAGTCTAAATTATTGAACTCTTTTATAGACTGTTCAAGATAATTTAAAAGTATAAGGCATGTTTTATAATTATGTATGTATAACTTGTATGTACACTTCTTTTTTTCATTTTTTGACGAGATGTATCATTGTTCAATTAGATTTCAAAAATATATAATTGGCAAGTGTTTAACTGTATTCGCTTTTTTATTTCACTAATAAATTTAAAGAAATAATGCATTCGTACATTATCGGGTATCCTATTGTCTAAACTCTCTCTCTCTCTCTCTCTCTCTCTCTCTCTCTCTCTCTCTCTCTCTGTATAGTGGCTCTATACACATGTAATTGTTATCTGAGAAGTGCAGCGATTACCTATGATAAACCACAGATTATCAATATACAAAGATCTCGTTATATGACAAACTCTTCATAACAATTACCAGTAGGATACAGCGATGTACGAGCGATGAGACTCAGTCATTGTGAGTTAATTATCATTTCATACTTTGTCCGTGTGTCTGTCTGTATCTCGCACTAAACGAAATGTGTGTCTCCAAATTTGTTATAATAGGAGTACACTATGTCTTCGTTTCAAAGAAAGTTCGGGGTTATTTTCTGAATAATGTGATTATTTCCCTTAAGTTTTCTTTCTTCAACTTTCTGAAGGATGTCAGAGTTAATACGCGTTTATCACAAGTGAGACTTTTTCATCAAATGTACATATAAAATTATACTACAACGTATTGACTACTTTTCTTGTCTTTTTTTTCAAAATTTTAAGTATAACTACCAAATAAGATGTTTATATCGTAGTTAACTGTGTTTTGACACGGGTTTTTATACTAGTATACTGTACCTGTTCATATAAACCTAGACGATTCGTTTATAAATCTGTTGTTCTCTGTGTTACAGCTTGTATGTTTGTTGTCATTCTGATAAGCTACAATCAAGGTAAGTTATGATTATACAATCTTCATTCGGTATGCTGATAGGTGTCGAATGTGCTTCAAATCATTGATATATTCCTTTTAAAAACATTCTTATACATACCTAAAGTTACATGCGCGTAATTGATTTTTTTTTCCCTGTTATATATTTACTGATGGTAAAATGGATCATTATTTCCATTCTGAAAAAAAAAATCTTTTAAAAACTTTAATGCAAATATTTCGTAGTAGTTGAAATAAAAAAAATAATGTTTTGTTGATCAAAGTATCAGCTTAATAGAACTTTAATGCAAATATTCCGTAGTAGTTGAAATAAAAATTAATGTTTTGTTGATCAAAGTATCAGCTTAATAGAATGAAGTTTGGGGGATTGAAAACAAAGAGTAATATATAAATAATCGAGTCAAATTGTTTAGATAGCATTTAAATTTATCTTATCTGATTGGCTTTTAATAACTTTTTTAATTTCTGCTTTAAAATACTATTGCTTTTGTGTCACAGTGAGTAATGTACATTACAATTAAGAAATCGCTACATCAAAAGGAAAGATTAAGATGAACTAGAATTAATAAATATTTATACACTTTTATTATACGCTACAGATGCATTGACAACTAACCAAAATGAAAAATGGGGAGAACTTTGTGGGAAAACAACAATACTGACACCAAATCAGTCACTAACATTTCAAGGAAAAGTTAGTTACGGTGCTCAAAAATGTATCACTAGTTTTAAAACAGACGCTGGCTACCTATTACGACTAAATATCCGTTACGTACCTGACTTTCCAGGATGTAGAAATTCTTATTTGCATATTGGAAATGATGTGTATCGAACTGACATTGACTCTCTTACGTCATATAAATTTTGTGATGTCATTTGGGATTTAGAGGTGGTTTCTAGAGGAAACTATCTATGGATTGTATACAATAATTCTGGAAATGTAACACACAGTAAAGAAAAACCAGTTATCAGCATACAAGTTCTTAAAGAAGGTAATTATATATCATTCTTTATATGTTTCTGTATTGGCATTATGTATTTGATAAAGTTAGCTCATAATAACACTGTGATAATGCATTTCCTGGAATTAACTAGCAAGTAAAAAAAGATTAGTATTGCTTTGAATCCTGCATTAAAAAATAATTAAATAAATAAAAGTAAATTTTAATTCGATTATTGATGGATGTTGATGTAAATAAGTCAATTACGGGAAAAAAATCCGACTTTTCACCACCAAATTGTCTGACGCGATTAGCCTCTTCTTTTTATAGATGTGCGAAATACAGGATTCTCAACCATACTGACACCACATTGTGTATATAAGTAGGAATGTTTATTCAAATATGACACAGAAACATCTAAATATTTGAATTAGATATCTCCTTCGATGTTACGAACCTTCTTTATTGACTTTTCCAGTGACCTCCTGTCCCGATGATTTCTTCCGTTGTTCTCCGGTCCAGTGCATACCACGTGACCAAATATGCGATAGCAAAATAGACTGTCAGAACAGGCGGGACGAGTATTGCTGTATAGCTTCTCTTTTTATTTTCCGTACCACCTATCGTATAAAAAAATCCAAATTCATTAAAAAAAATATCATATAATATAAAGTATTTCTTTTAAGGACAGATGATACAAACACTTTTTTTTCTTTGGAGGAGACTTAATATCATGTCAAATTTTATAGAAAAGTGGATAATTTTTTGATTTTTTTTTCTTCTAGACTTGGAGAATGAAATATCTTCCATATTTCCCCCAAAAAGTACACAACTAGAGTAATCATGGTAAAATTGTTTAATCTTCATTTATTTACCCTCTTTTTTGTTCAAAAATGTTTCAAAAGGAGCACAGAGTGAACTGATATTACATTTACTCAATAACCTGTTTATTTTCTTGCATAAAAGAAATGACACTTGGAAAATATTAGTTGATACTTCAATAAAATTACAAATATGGACAAATCACACTCAGTAAAGGTTTTCAGATGAAAATAAATTTCAGAATATGTTAGCTTGGTGCTAAAAGTGTGAGATAAACTTTAAAAAAGATATACCAAGCCAGGTGAATTATGAGGAAAGGCAGAATGGTAAAAATCAACCTATGTAATATCAATTCACTCTGTGCTCCTTTAGAAACATTTTTGAAGAAAAAAGAGGGTAAATGAATGAAGATTAAACAATTTTATCATGATTACTTTAGTTGTGTACTTTTTGGGGGAAATATGGAAGATATTTCATTCTCCAAGTCTAGAAGAAAAAATTCAAAGAATTATCCACTTTTCTATAAAATTTGACATGATATTAAAGAGGCTGGGGGATTGTGGCCATTTTTAGACTATATTGATCTCCTTTAGAAGAAGAGCTCCATTTGAAGATATAGAAAATGATCAAATTTTAAAACTAAAATTTTTGAAATTTTTTTTTGCCAAATGATAGTTGACAGCTTAAGATATCATATCTAAAAAATTAAGTTAAATCTGGTGGTTAATTTGTGGTTAATTTGTTGACCCCCCAGCCTCCTTAAGTCTCCTCCAAAGAGAGAAATTGTTTGTATCATCTGTCCTTAACGGCAAATTATGCTAATTAAAAACTCACCTTTCTCCAATATCGTATAAATTGTATTCTTTAGTAGATAGTCCGTTGAAGAGTGAGTCTTTGCTTGGGAAGCCTGCTTGTTTTGAATGTGCTGACGGCCGCTGTATCAATCCTGTCCTCCCTGTGTATGATGAGGATTTCGAGAAACCATTATCATATCTCTGTGACGGCTATAATCATTGTTTAGATGGCACAGATGAAAGGAAGGGTATGTCATCAAATAAGTCCGAATTTTAATAAGTGCCATCGGGTATACATTTCCTGAATATTTGAAAACATAATTTTTTTCAACTTTTATTATATTTTTTAACAGATATGTGTTACAGAACAAAGAGTAAAGTATCAGACCTTTTGACATGTGTTCCCATGGACACTAGATATGGAATCAACACAACCGTGACAATGTGGCAGGACCGCGTGTGTGACGGAATCCCTCATTGTCTCTACGCCCAAGACGAGGCTTCGTGTCTTCCTGGTGTCACCGGTATATAATTCGTGTAATTAAAGTACATATTCATTTATGGAATTAGCTATATATTGGTTCCAAAAGATAGATATGCGTGTACTAGAAAGTAATATATGCGTAGGTCTGATGAATCATGCAGGCACCGCCCACCCGGTCGCTAATTAACATATTTGAATGGTGATTCCTGCTAATCTCGGCCATGCAGCCAAGACATATCTATGTTGGCTTTGCCCACAATGCCTCTGGTTCATTGATGTCAAAGGTGGATCTTTTGCCATGAAAATAAAATCTGCTTTGGGAACAATAGTGAATTCAAGTGAATTAAAGGAATAAAGCAAACTTTTATATATTACAATAATAATGCAGGTATAATATCAAACTAGTTTCGAAAAGCAATTTGTGGTATGAAGTCTATGTTAATCTATAAAGAACTGCGAACGATAGTATTGTTCTCCCGCCTACCTCCAAGTCAATTTTCAAAAGTTAAGGTATTCGAATGATTTTTAATATTTATATTGATATTTATATGGATTTTCATAAAACATTACTTCTTTGGGAAAACAACGAGAGATAACTCTAAAACTTTGGTAAAACTCGTGTTTTTCACTATAGAAATCAACGGAAAACGGAAAATATTTTTAAAACATCTCCCCCCCCCCCCCCCCCCCGTGAAACAAAAATTCCTTTTTACGGGTAATATGGACTGTCATTTCACAAATTCATACCAAAGCTTTTTGTGTTTCACGGGGGGGGGGGGGGGAACATATGTTTATATACAAAAAAAACGACAAAAATGCTTATTTCTTCAGCAATTTCCAAGTGCTTTACAACTGAAACATTTAATTTTACTAATATATATGCTTAATTTTATATGCATAAAACATAAGAAAAGATTTAAGAAACATTTATTCATATCCAAGACTATTTCAGAATGTGGTGATGCTTTATAGCCCGATTTCAGTGGAAAATATCGTCTACCCCCCTTATTTCAAGAGCTGGAATTAGGGATATTTTACTATTTAGCACTGGAATTAAAATAATTAATCAATTACCATTGAACAGTTTTTTGTATTAAACAAAGATTTTATGGCCAAATTGTCATCAATATTGAATTAAGTGGTTGTAAAATGTAGGCGGGAATCGGGAGTTACCGTGCGTAGTTCTTAACACTCTGAATAATAAACCGTTGAAGCTTAATATAACTTTTGAAGTATTGTCTCTTTTTATATTACTGTAGTGAAGTTCCGTATGAACTCGAGTGTCATCATTATTCTAACTTGTGCTGGAACCCTCCTTATTGCTTGGATAGCATGTTTTGCATACAGAATACGTAAGATTTTTTTTTTTTTTTTTTTTTTTTTTGGAAATGTAACTGAATAAACTATTGGTATCTTTTACCATTCTACTTTCAATTTTGATGTTGTTAATGCTGTTATATATCTAGATATATATAATTCCACTCGGATAAGGTGTATCTTGATTTAAATTTGTCCCTAAATCACCACCTAGTCAAAGTTCATTATAATTGTAGGTAACAAGAGAGAGTCTTCTTCAGACCCATTCCAGGACCAAATTACTTCGCGCAGTCGCATTTATCAGTCACGTGATACCCAGAACCCTGCAGAGATATGTCGCTTACAGACTGTTTCAGAGGAACCCGAGAAATGGGAGTAGCTAGAGTGTACCTTCATACGTTTATTTTACTACATAACAACTTCATTGGTCATGCTTCATTCCTTGACATTGTGAACAAGTAAAGAATAAAAAAAAATATACATGATTTTCATTTTTTTTAATTGAATATCAAGAATAGATAGTTTATTTTTTTTTTCAATTTTTTCATCAACAATCGGTCTTGAGAAGTAATTGAAGCTCATTTTTCATTATATAAATTACTAGTGTATTTACCAGTCTATTTGTTACACTATTATCTAGTGTACCTGTTCTCTTACTGAGAAGCACCAATCAGATCGGGGCTTTTATCAGTTTGATATAAAACGTAAACAGAAAGGAAGCATTTGACACCTCAATGCACGTGTTTGTCACCGAAGGGGTTAATGTGATTGGGCGAGAATTAAGAAAAACAATCAAGAGTTGTGTATTCGCCGAAAGACGTCGCTTCAGTCAGCCCATAGAATGTCGAATCAAATTTGTCAGAGGTCCAACAGCAACGTGTTCACTCGGGATTCCTGACGTTGTGAGGATGAGCTAAAAAATATTCGTCCAAAAATTCTACAAGTTTAAAATAATAAAAATATAAAATGTTTCGGGAAAATGTCTGCAGTGGAATTAATGGTCTAGCGCTTCAGTCTAATACCAAATGTCTAATGAAAAATGATTGGTTTATTCAAATTATTGTCTGGCTGAATTCAGGGGAGCAAATTTTATATATTTTTGTTATTTTTATAATTTTTTTTTTTTAAAAAGCAGTGTTTATTTCTATTCATAACGCGTTTAAAACTAATTACATGTTTTATGTGTTTATCTCTTCTACATAACGCTCTTTCTTTTTGTAGTGAACTGCAATTTAGTATTTATAAAATTCATCTCTTAGATTGCAATGGCTACAAATTCTATCTTACCTTGGTATATAACCCAAGTCCAGTTTCAGTTGGTAAATAGTGATTACAAGTTCGAAATCTACAAAATGTGATTACGTCCTTTTTTTGATATATATGTATGTATAATATTAACCTAATTTTCAAACTTTATTCTTCTTTGTATATTCTATAATTTAATGCTTTAAGTGAAGTTTGAATAATTGATTGCCAAATTTGTTTGAATTGATCAATTAACTTTTTTTTTACTTTCGCCTTTAATCATTTTATATTACTTGGGCTTTGTTCGAGTTCAATATTAGATAGTACACAGTTATTCAAAATATACATGTATATTATAATAGACCAGTCAATTTACCATGAAACATCAAAGTTATTGCAACACCATTTTTGTTGTTGTTGTTGTTGTTATTGCACATAAAATGTATCTTACCAAAATCGTGTGAGGGGGGAGCATTATTTGGGGTTCGTGAATTTCCTATTAAAATTACTGTGGGAAAGGGGCATAACTCTTCTCGATTTGTAAATTTTCGTTAAAATTTTGGCGCATTTCTCTAATTTGAAGAAAGAGAATATGAATTAAACTGTATATAATGATATTTATAGATGCAGTGAAACCTTTTATACCCAAGAGAAAAAATACAGATGTTTAGGCTCACTTCAGAGTGTATGTAAATTGCATTTCGTCGTCTCATTATAATAAAATTTTAGGGCAGAGATAATAAAAAAAAAAGTAGGTCGAATTTTGTCTCTTAAACTTTGTTTATTTATTTATTTACGTTTTATTATTATTATTCTTATTAATATTAGATTTATTATTTATGTACTAAATGAAATGATCGATACATAATAAATCTCAATCCAAGGGATATTCATTTTTATTCTATTTTAAACTCTGTATCATTATATATTAACAAATGTTAATATTTCCAAATTATCAAAAAGTATGAGATTTATATTCAAAATATCCATTTTCAATTTAAATTATGTATGTAAAATAATGATCTATTAAACTGTATCAGAAAAGTTTAAATCAGATTACGCTTTCGTGAAAAACAGGAATTTTCTTTTAATTATACTTAGACACCGGATGCAGTGAATAATTTTATACAGTGGCTTGGAAAATTTGGGAACGTATTGTTTGTTGCCCATAATGCGTATTGCTTGTTGCCCATAATGCCAAGTTTGACTCTAGCGTTCTATAGTCCGTGTGTTGAGTTGCATCGGTCTTAGTGCCTCAGAACATATAAGTGGGTTTGTGGACACATTACCTCCTAATTTTAAAGAACTTTACCCAGGCCGCAAGAGTTATAAACAAGTGGACTTGCTGAAGGACCTGTGTGTGACTCATTTTGATGCTCATGATGGCAAATCTGATGCATTGGCCTTACAAACTCTTTCATTGTCTTCGTCAATTTCAAGTGATATTATGCTGAAGCATAGTTTTTCTACGGAATTTGTTGTACATAATTTGAATTTTTAAATGATGAAAATGAGAAACATACAATCATTGAAAAATCTTATTGATAATAAGATTTTATCCAAGTTTACTGCGAACAAAATTGCTGAAACAGGTCTGCATTTCCAGCACATTTTATTAGCTTACCAAAGAGACAAAGAAAACGGGGTAAGATCTCTGCTATCAGAAAAAAAACATCAGGAAAACCAAGAGTGACAGAAAATTCAAAGATTATTCAGTCTCTTCAGAATTGTTTCATGAATATGAAAACATAATTGCATGTATAACAACTCACAATGCTTTTGTTGTATGTATGTGTGTATTGCATTTTCTCTCTTCAAAGAGAGGTAACTCAGCTAAACAACTATGCAAATTGGATTTTTCACAAAAATCAAAGAAAAAAGGCTGGTTTCAAATGCTGAAAACTCTAGAGTTTCATCATCTATTGCTGTAGTGCTCTTCTAAAGAAAATGTGGAAGAAATACCAGCTAAAAGTACGTTTGAGAATTTTTGTATATTTTGCATAGAAAAACACACCAAATTTTCATCAAATGTTATCTTTTCAAAACCCCTGGTAATATATTCTTTTTTTTTTTTTTTTTTGCCTAAGAGCAACTGAGGGTACGTTCATTTTAAATTAAGAATTTCTTGAAAAATTACCAAAAGGTAATGTACGTTGCGTATGACCTAAAGCAAAAAATTGGATGGATATTATGCAGAGTTATGCCCCTTTTCTATAGTAATTCCCATAGCTTATTCAATCATGCTAAAAATATGTTTTCCGCTTATTAGATTTTCTTAGAATTTTACTGCTAATATTTTATACATGTTATATTAAATTTATGACAAAAAAAATTATGTTGCATTAGTTTGGGCCCATATTTTCGATAAATTGACTGGACTATAAAGGGTTGTGACGTAACAGTAACTTCACTATGACGTCATTGCATTGTTTCTTTGAGAAGCAGCTTACGAAAGCCTATTAGGATCAATCTATGAAGAAAAAAAAAATTAAAAGGCGTTATAACGTCTTTTCAAAAGGCGTTATAATGCCTTTTCAAAAGGCGTTATAACGCCTTTCGAAAAGGCGTTATTATGCCTTTTGAAAAGGCATTATAACGGCTTTTGAAAAGACGTTATTATGCCTTTCTAAAAGGCATTATTACACCTTTTCAAAAGGCGTTATTACGCCTTTCCAAAAGGCGTTATTATGCCTTTTGAAGAGCCATTATTATGCCTTTGACAGGCCCGTGCTTTTGAAAGGGGGGAGGGGGCAACCTCCCAAAAAACTGACAAGCAAACAAAAAAAAAAAAAAACAAGAAACCCCCCTCCGAAAAAAATACTACTAAACTGCCTAAACTTGATGGGGATCTTTTTACAACTTTTCGGTAAAACTTTTTTAAATGCAATGATTCGCTAGAGTTTAAACATACTGCAACAAAATGTTCAGGGACCAAGCAGTCATGCAATAAATGAATTTTTATATTTAAACTGTAGCAAGACTATTCCTTCAAAAAGTGGGGTGAGGGAGCCCCCCCCCCCTTGCACTCGAACTACCGGCCTGTTTAAAAAGGCGTTATATCCAAAAATGGAAATGCGTTATTTTATATTAATAGATACTTGAAAGATTGAATCAAAGCCATCTTTATTTATGCAATATTTAAAAGTATTTTCTATATTCCTGCACATCTCGCAGACAACTGTTTACATGCGTATTAAGAGAAGTCAACACTCTGCTTGTGGAAATCCAGGATACAAGATTCAGATTGGGACTTTGCTTGCCATGTATTAAAAATTCATGTCAATTTTGAAAATATTTTTCTCTCCTTTTGGAAAAAAGCAGGCAAACTATTTGCACGGGTATAATGAGCAATTAGCCTTCAACCAAAGTAAAATCCATGACCCTTGGTAGAGGTGTCTGGCATCAGAGAAGAACTAAGTTGGTTTAACACTGAAAATACATTACACATTTATAAATCTTTTTTCCTGGAAATCTAACTACAATATGTTTAAATTATTTTTTAAGAAAGTAGCCCTTTATTTACTTGTGACATTCATGTCCCGAGGGTAAGATTTCAGCCCCCGGAGTGGGCTAAGTTAGTCATGTATTGAAAATAAAAGGCGTAATAACGCCTTTTGGAAAGGCGTTATTACGCCTTTTTAAAAGGCGTTATTACGCCTTATCAAAAGGCGTAATAACGCCTTTTTGAAAGGCGTAATAACGCCTTTTCAAAAGGCGTAATAACGCCTTTCCAAAAGGCGTAATAACGCCTTTTTCGCGTTATTACGCCTTTTTGAAAGGCGTTATAACGCCTTTTAATTTTTTTCTCCATAGATTGATCCTAATAGGCTTTCGTAGAATATTGCTTTATTAAGTTTTTCATGCATTAAATCATGGCCTTATTTGTATTCAACTAGACAAAGAGATCTTATATCCTTGCAGTTTTGTCTTTGGTGATGCTATTCCTAACGGCCAAACACAAAGAGTACTTCTGTTGGTAAGTAAAAGTTAAACCATCGTCGGATACCCATGCATGGGTGATCTCGTCTGTTACTTATCACATCGTCGGATACCCACGGATGATCTCGTCTGTTACTTATCACGTAAAAGACGAGATCACCCGTGGTTATCCGACGATGAAGTAAAACATACTACAGGAAATTTACGCATTCTGGACATCTCAAGTG